GTAGAGAAAAACTCCCCTCGATCAGCATGAAATCTCATCACCGGCATTCCCAAACTGGCAATGTAAAGAACAACATCCTGTAGAGCAGCTCGAATCGTTGCGTTCTTGTTGTCTGTCAGCGCGGTCGAGAACACCAAGTAGCTCATCTCCGGGGCCTCGCAATCTCCCTGCACCATCACCTTGTGCCCTTTTCCATCGACTGGCACTCCTTCTTCTCCAGACGACTCAAGGGGATTCTTTTTGTCATCTGCCTCATCGCCGGATTCTGGTGCATCTTCATCGCCAAGGCTCCCGCGGGGCATCTCTTCATCCATTCCATCTTCCAAAACCAGCTCACCCTCCTCGTTGCTGCGGACATCATCATCCCGCACTTCACCAGAAGGATCACCTCGATGGCTTGCTGCCGCCTCCAAATCCAGCTCCTTGTCCCCGAGTGGTCCTATCCCCCCGCCGCTTCCATCGTCCTCCTCTGGAAGATGTAGTCCCGGACCCTGCGGAAGATCTCCTCCTCGATAAGATTTGAGGAACTCAGTCGGGAAGGCGTAGCGAGCCACCAAGATATATCTCATTGATTTGGTCAGGCTTCCTCTCACCATTGTATCTAGACCAGGTTTGATTGGTCCAGTGAGATCCGAAGTTAGCACGTAGGAGTCGGGGTGGCAAATTCTGGCATGTCTTTTTCCAACTCCTCGTGACATCACGCAGGTCAAGCAGTCACGGCGAAATGGTTCGTGGTTGTTCTCGACATGTTTCTGCCAAGCTCTTTCACTCAGGGCCAACAATGAGGGAGATTTCGTCCACATATGGAACGCCACCAGCATCGCCTTCACCAATCCAGGAGACCATCGAGAGGTAGTTACTGATTCACCTTCCATTTGCTCAGACTCCACTCCAACATCCTGAAGGGCCTGGAAATAGGGGATGTTCGTTCCGATGGTTGTAGGCGATGACGAGAGTGCCCCCATGCCCCGCTGGTCAAAGCTGACTTTGAATTGACCCGACTCCTCCTGGAACGACTCCCACAACGGCATCTTCCACAGAGACCCTTTTTTCGTGAGTTCCCCAGGATGCTCCAAGAAGAAACCAACAGACCTCCTCCTATTGCTCCCCTTGGCTCTCGTGAGTCGACCAGAAGTAGCGACCACATGCAGCCACAGCATTCGGGCGATCACTGCCAGGTTCTTTAGCGCCAGTGGTTCCTTGCGGTTCAGTGCTGCGACCAGATCGGCTCTTCCAGGCGGTCCCCCAAATATCAAGTCCACTCGACCTTCCCGAGCTCCCCACATCAGCATCCGCCAGACTCTTTCGCTGAGAATGTCTTGCCCTTTGCAACGATCGACATCCAGTTCCAGAACGGCGGTATCTCCCTTGTCCAACTTGAAGAACTCGATGTGACTTTCTTTCCCAGCACACAAGTGGACCACCCATCGTTTTGCTCGCAGCAGGGATCTTCGCTGGGCACGGGTCAGGAACTCGATCGGCTTGAGGACATCCCACCCTGATTCAGGCAGGGCGGAAGGTACCATGCCATTCAAGCACTCTCCCGGCAGGTCCTGTAGGAAAGGTGCGTCCCTCAAAGCCCTCAACCCCATTTCTCGGTTGCCATTGTTGGTGTAGTGCATGAGGTACTCGAACCACGACTTGTCCATGCCCGCCGCCACCGCTGCAATTCTGTCCTGCGTCACCAAGGTCTCATTCTCCAATCGCTCTCTCTTTCTTTCCTCCAAGCGAGCGATCAGCGTTAAGGCCTCGACTTCACACATCTGCGGGCAGCCACTGCTCACATTGAGCCGCGTCTTCCCTCCATTCTCATCCAAGAGCAAACATGCATCTGGAGACCAATGAAGGGTATATCCCAGTGTCTTCACCAGTTCACCGAGAGGAACTATTGTTTGTCCCTCTCCTTCGGCCCCGGTGGTCTTGGGTGGCATGAGGAGTGACCCAGCCTGATTCATCTTCATCTGAAGCGAGTGACTTCCTGCCAGCTGAACCATCACTGGCTCCGATTGACTCCACTCCTCCCAGGAAGTCGCACTTCTCAACGCATGGGTGGCTCCTGAGTCCAGCAGAGCAGTCGTCGTCCTCAAGGAGCACACTCGGATATCCTTCACGATGAGAACACGAAGTGAGGAAGTCTTCTCTGGGCTTTTCTCCCCTTCCGTTGCCTCAGGTCGTTGCGCCTGTGCTTGGACAATCTGTTGGGCCGCCTGAACCAGTGACTCCAGGGTCCATGGAACGCCTTGAACTGCTGCTCCACTTCCTTCTTCCACGGCCACTGATGCTGCAACAGGTCCATTCGTGGTGGTAGAAGTGCTCGAGGTCGGCTTGTTGGTAGGCGAGGTGGGGGCTGAGGATGAGGTAGATTTTCCCTTCGACCCACCCTTGCCCACTGGGCACTCTTTCTGTCGGTGGCTTTCGCTCCCACACTGAAGACACTTCTTGCTCCTCGTCTCCCTATCCAAACTCGCCATGGAATGAGCATAATTGCACTTCATTCCCCGTCTGCAGCCAGTGGATTTCATGAAGTAGCGACAAAGCTCACCCTTTTCCTTATCCTTTGCCTTGTCCGTCTTGTCCAAGGCCCGGGCATCAGCAGCTCTCACCTTTGGTGTTGGTGTCGTGGAGGTTGTTGCCACAAGAGTCTCGAGCTCTGCTTGTAGGTGTTTTTGGTAAGCCATGACCTGGTCCAGAGACGGTTGCCCATCCAGTCGTAGGGTGGTTCGCAGCATTGCAGTTCGGAACGATGCATCCTCAGACCCTTGGATGTACTTGCTTGTAACTGAAGCCAGTCCTTTTGCCAGCACCGAAGGATCAGGGGGACTCATCTTGACCGCCTGACATCTGGAAAGCCACCGAGGCCATGCTCGCACCACTTTGAGGGCCTCAGCCAAGGAATCTCCACCCTGAAGAAATTCGCTGGGGGTTTGTAGCCGACGGAGCATCTCATAGCGCTCGGCGCTGCCTCCAGGTTGAAACAGGGTATGCAGTCGGAACAACATCTTCACCGTATCCTGAGTCAGTCTCTGAGAAACCATGTCAGCTCGCAAACTTTCGTCCATTGCTCCCAGCATCATCGACGTTACTCGGGCATTAAGTCGGACCCATCTTCCAGTACAGAGCTCAAACGACTGCTCGGGAAACACCTGTAGCCGCTCCAAAGGGGTTGCGCCAAGCCAGCGGTGGTATGTGCCATCCACCTGCTTGATGACAAGTTGCCACCATTGTCCGCTGCTCTCACTCACGTCCGACATGACTGACCCTGCTACTTCCAGCCAATCTTGAAACTCCAAAGCAGCCGTCGCCAGCGAATCACCTCTCAGTTGGGGTATTGGTGCCAAGTTGGTTGTTCCAGGCTTTACGATCTCGACCTGCTGGTTTGACAAAGTCGCCTTAGACATTGCTTGCATCTGCAGGTCTTGTAGCTGCTTCATCCCCTGAGTCAAGGCATCCAGTACAGCGGCATCTGAACCTGTTCTTGGTGGAGGCGGGGGACTCGGAGATCTTACTCTTCCCATGATCGATTCCAGCAACCCCGGTGTTACTGTGTTGGCTGGAGTCAGAGGTGCTGTACTCGATCGGGGAAACGACTGGGCCTCACCTTCATGTACATATGGTCTTGAAGAAATGCCTGGTTGCTGACCACTCGACCATGTGTCAGGAGGTGCTGGCACTGACGCTGCGTCTCGATCTGAAATTCCGGGCCCCTCCCCAATCTCAGTAACCAGTCCTGGGGCCTGTGTTGGGCCAACAGCAGCGAGATTCTCATTTCGTGTCCACGGACTCCAGGCTTGTTCGGTCTCCCGTCGTCGATATCGCTCGAGCTCAGCGTGGAGGTCCTTATTCCTGTCCTCAGCCTGCTGCAATCTGTTAAGCAATCCACCAAGCTGTCGCTGCACCTCAGCCTGTATCGCTTCCGCAGGCACTGAAGACGAGCTCGGGGGCGTTGCTGCAGGGGCCTTCGGCTGGGACCCCATTGGAGACCGCAGCACAAATGCTCTTCCACCTGGTGGCGACGATCGAGAGCTTCCAGCCAAAGGACTCGGGTAGTTTTCACCGTGTCCTCCCATCGACATGTAGGCCCCCAATCTATTCACCCAACCAGGCATCTCCATTCCTGAAAACCAAACACCACGAGGTGGCACCAAAGATTGTACTGATCGTGGTGTAAAATACCCATGCGCTGATTGCCCTGCACTCCCACCAGTTCTTTCAGATTCAGAGGGCCTGGCCCGATCATCAGTCGTCAGATTCGTAGGTTCCGCCTGCAGATGTCGTGGTCCATTCTCCTCTGTCCCCACACGGTCGAAGTCTCCAGGTTGTGTCACCGAAGGCCTCGGGGCATTTTCCATAGTGCCATAGCCTCTCGGAGCATCACTTTCCAGCACAGCTTGCAAGGTTGCCGCTTCTTGGCTTGTCATCGGAACATCCGAGACCTGTCTTCCCGGTCCATCACAGACCTGGCTTGCAGGCTCATCTTCACGATGAGCAACAAAGGGCTCTATCCCATTTGCCAGCGGAGTATCAGTAGCCGGCGGTTGGGCCATCATAACCTATTGAAATTTCCCGTGGCCTGGAATCAATCGCAGCCCAGCAATCTGAAACCATGGCGCTCGATCATTTTTTGCTTCGTAGCAAGAGTCAACGAATGCGAACTATGTCTGTCGAGTCATATGCACAAAAGCAGTGGGGTGTTGTACAAATGTCTGCTGCATATGCTCGTAAATGTTTTGTACATCTGCATGACATCATGTCGTGCCCAAGGTGCCTTTCGTAGCCGCAACCTTGCGGGGGTTGTCCACACATCGGCCTTGCAGCATGGAACTGAAATCATCCTTTAACAAGGGTTTAGGGTTTCGGTAATTCGGCCGGTCGTATCCTTTCACAGTCGTATAAGTGCAGCGCAAGCACTGAGAGTGCACGCGGGAGCAATCGACAGATGTTCCAAGGTACAGACCGGTAGCACTGTCCTCAACGTGACTCACGTCTTTGAAGGCAGGGTCATGTGGTTTGGCTTTGCCAGCGACCTGCATCGAGTGCTGCACGAACATGTCTACCGCTTTGTCTTAGAGCAAACGCATGAAATCTTGGTTCGTCTGAAAGGCCCTGTGGAGCATCACCCCTTTTTTCTCTAACCTTGCACCAATATCTTCAGCCCTCAGCAAAAGAAAAATATGCGAGAGGTTTAGGAGTTTGGGTTCCCTAAAACCTAAACCTGAATCCTCAGCTTGAGACTAGTTCTCAGTAGGAGCTAGATCGTTCGGGGGAAATTACCTTTTTGCCTTCAATGCACTACTAAGAAGCAGTAAGCTAAGGTGAAGCCCCTCCGCCCTCAATACTGTGAGCTGAGAAACCTGCAACCGACTGCGCCCCTTGCAGACTGTTTCTTCCTGAAGCCCAACAGCCTGAGCTCCTGAACCCTCAGCCCATCTTTACCGTAACTAGACATCCCTGTGTCCTAAACCCTGCACCCTAGACCCTACACCCTTCTACCCTGGGAGCTCAGACTCCCCCCCCACACACCCTGCAGCCTCAACCCTAAACCCTAAACCCTAAACCCTGAACCCCCTTTCAGGCCTGGCTGGCTGGCCCTCCCACATCCTGCAGCTCTCTCAGGGCCGGGTCGTGCGCTTCGACCCTTTCGAGGGCAAAGAAGGCACGGCGACGCGACATGTAGGGGTTTGGGGCATTTAGGCTCTGCCCTCTGTGGTTTAGGGTTTAGGGTTTAGGGTTTAGGGTTTAGGGTTTAGGGTTTAGGGTTTAGGGTTTAGGGTTTAGGGTTTAGCCTAAAGTGGTAGGGGATGCTCCTGGTCCGATTTGGGAGGGGAGGTGTGGGACCCCTATGATGTTCGGGTTGAATGGATCTGCTTGTTTTGGGCTCAGTTGTCACCTGTCGTTTAGGGTTTTGGGTTTAGGGTTTTGCGTTTGGGCTCAGGGTTATGGGTTCAGGGTAGTCTAGGGTTTGGGGTTCGGGGTTCGGGTTTGGAGTTTAGGGTTTGGCTTGCACGGGTGCCGACAGTGCCGACTCTGCGTTTTGGACGTTAATGTCCCGTAGGGTATGTGGTTTGGGATTTAGGGTTGGAGGCCAAGGTAGGCACTTCATCGAAATATGTAGAATCAAGAGCTGGTCCCCGCTTGGCTCGCGGAGACGCACTAGAAAGCAAACCAGCTCAATACCCCATGAGAGGTCAAGAACGAACCCCTGGCTGCTCACGAAGTAGACTTCACTCGAGTCGGGTAGTTTGGCACACGCGCATGCATTTCTGAAGCTCCGGATTTTGGACAGGCGTTGTCAGTTTTTGCATCTTGAGCTGGGCTGGATCTCGACTTGCCACGGCCAAAAGATGGGGATGGGTTTAGGGTTCATGGGTTCAACTCGAGATCCATTTTGATCTTCCTAAACCCTAAACCCTAAACCTTGGGCGCAAGGCAGCATCTTCAAGCAGATGGTTGCGTGGCTGTCAGCGACGTGCGAGGACGCCGGAAGGGCTGAGGTCCTCCATCTCCTCAACCCGACGACCCTGAGTCCTTAAGCCGCTAAGCCCTTATGCCCTAAACCCTACACCCTAAACCCTAAACCCTGGCCAATGTCCCATACCTGATTGAGACGACGGAAGCTGAGCAAGAATGAACAGTTCACAGTTTCATCCGTGGTGATGAAGTTCGCGTCGTTCACTTGGGTGTTGAAAAGGTGATATGAGCAAATTACATGCTACATTTGTCATATTGAACTGGGCTTGCAAAGATTTGGCGTCGAGGTGTCATTCGTGATTCATCCAGAAAAACCTCTGCCTCCACCGAAAACGAGAACTCTAAGCCCGAAACCTAAACCTATTTAGGGCTTTCCAGGGTTTAGGGTTTAGGGTTTAGGGTTTAGGGTTTAGGGTTTAGGGTTTAGGGTTTAGGGTTTAGGGTTTAGGGTTTAGGGGGGCAAAGACTTCAGCACCAGGATTCCACAGCCCCACTGCGTGCCCCCGCCTGCCCGCGGCACGTGACTTCCGGGCCCACAGCCCCACGTCGGAACTCGAAAAGGAACCCTAAACCCTAAACCCTAAACCATCATGAAGCACAATTTTAGGGCTTACGCACGGTGCATAGGTTTCAGAGGTCCTTTCGAGTTTTTCTCTTGAGGTTTCGTTCCTGGCTTAGGGTTTGCTGTTTAGGGTTTGGGGCCCAGGGCTTGCGGATCTTCTTTTAGGTTCTGGAGGGCACAAGAACCAGAGAAGTCTTGAATTTCTATAGGACCCACCCAAGCCCAGCTCAGTTTGTTTTTTTGTGGGTTTCAAGGGTTTAAAGGATTTATAGGCTCGAGTCAAGCTTAGGGGTTTCGGGTTTAGGGCTTGCGGGTTAAGATCCATGCACTTAGGGTTTAGGGTTTAGGGTTTAGGGGTTCGGGTTGAGGGTTCAGACTACCGGGTGGCACATCGGCGGTGAGAAGCATGGTTGTAACAAGGTCATCCATACAGCCATAGGTTAGAAGGCGTGGCCTCACAGGTGTATAGACCCTAGAAGCCCTAAACCCTAAACCCTAAACCCTAAACCCTAACCCTAAACCCTAAACCCTAAACCCTAAACCTCGAGCTATGTACAATGAAACTTCAAGTCGGGCATCGGATGGTTTAGCGTGTGTAAGTCGTGTTCAGTTGCGGCAGGTTCTGGGATGGCCCTAAACCCTAAACCCTAAACCCTAAACCCTAAACCCTAAACCCTAAACCCTAAACCCTAAACCCTAAACCCTAAACCCTAAACCCTAAACCCTAACCCTAAACCTCTCTCAGTGGCAGCAGGTGCCCACCTGGACTCCCAGGAGTTCCCTAAAAGATGCCCTCTGCCCTCAATACCTTACGGAGGATCCTAGGCTCTTCGTTTAGGGTTTAGGCTTTAGGCTTTAGGCTTTAGGGTGTGGGGTTTGGGCTTGTGTCTGAATCAGGGGCTGGTCTTCAAGGGTTTCTTCTGGAGCACAAGAGAGGCCTCGAAAAGGGCCCCCGGTAAACATCAGCGGCCAAAACCCTAAACCAATTTCCCCAAACCCTCCAAAACACATTATGGGGTACCGAATTCCCGAATTTCTCACAACCCCTTGTAGAGTTAGAACCTTTACTATTCTAAACCCAAAGCCCTAAGCCCTACACCCTGAGCCCTTCTAGCAGCACACAGTCTTAACCGGAAACAAACCCAAAAAACCCGTTGACTTCCCTGTCTAGGGTTGAGGGTTTAGGGAAACCTTAAGCCCTAAATCCTAAGCCCTAAACCCTAAACCCTAAACCCTAGCCCTAAACCCTAAACCCTAAACCCTAAACCCTAAACCCTAAACCCTAAACCCAAGGTCTCCATTCAGGGGCTGTGCTTCCGCTACGGCGCCGGTTCTGACGTCCGCTTGGAGGACTTTTCTCTCCGCAGTTGTTCCAGGTGCGCTCGATTTTGAAGTAGAGTTTGGAGTTCAGGGTTAGGGTTTGAAGTAGAGTTTGGAGTTCGGGGTTTAGGGTTCAGGGTCTAGGGTTTAGGGTGCTGGGTTTAGGATTCAGGGTTTGGAGGGTTTAAAGGGTTTAGTGTTTAGAGATCTTTCCACCAATCAGGGAAGGGGGGAAAACCCGTTTCAATCCCCCCCCCCCCTATGGGAAAATCGCCCATTTTTGCAGGGTAGCTGTTTTCGTTGATTGCCTGGATTCCAACTTTACAAGGTCTTGGTCGATGCTGATTCTGACGTTTTTTTAGTCCAGGAAAATTCTCACAAGCTTTGCAATTTGGTTTCCGCTCTAAGTCTGAAACCCTTTATCCCCAAAACCGTAGCCCGAAGCCCCTAAACCCCAAGGCTACAGACCCCTAAAGCCCTATATAAACCCCCAAGCCGTACCTGAAGGCTCCTATGTAGAACCTTCTTCGGGCAACTAGCCCCAAAAAGGAACTACATTAGAGCTGTGAGCCTTCAGGGAAGCCCTCTAAAAACCCTAGGCCCTAAGCCACTAAACCCCTAAACCCCTAAACCCCTAAACCCCTAAAGCCCTAAACCCTAAACCCTAAACCCTAAACCCTAAACCCTAAGAAGGTGCGTCCTGGTCGGCCTGAACGGCACCGGGAAGTCCACCCTCCTGGCGCTGCTCGCGGGGCGACGCATGGGCCTGGACCATGGGGCGCCTCGAGTGGTTTAGGGTTTAGGGTTTAGGGTTTAGGGTTTAGGGTTTAGGGTTTAGGGTTTAGGGTTTAGGGTTTAGGGTTTAGGGTTTAGGGTTTAGGGTTTAGGGTTTAGGGTTTAGGGTTTAGGGTTTAGGGTTCGCGGTTTAGGGTGCAGGGTGTATGGGCTTTATAGGGTGTAGGGTATGTGGGGTGTGTGGGGTCCCGAAGGGTGTGTAGGGTCCCGTAGGGTGTGTAGGGTCCCGTAGGGTGTGTAGGATGTATTGTGTAGTTTTGTTGTTTCTTTTTGAACGGCTTGTGCTTTTTACGGCTTGTGGGGTGTATGGGCTGAGAAGTTTTAGCCGGTTTTGGGGCTGCATAGGGTTTATGGGCGTTTAGGGTTTGTGGGTTTTTATAGGGTTTCTGCGTTTTTGAGGTTTCAGCCGTATACAGTGCTAATCTTCTGAGCCCGAGACCTACTTTTGGGGTAAGAATGCTGTGGAGGTCCTTGAGGGTTTAGGGTTTAGGGTTTAGGGGTTTAGGGGTTTAGGGGTTTAGGGGTTTAGGGGTTTAGGGGTTTGGGGGTTTGGGGGTTTAGGGGTTTAGGGGTTTAGGGGTTTAGGGGTTTAGGGGTTTAGGGGTTTAGGGGTTTAGGGGTTTAGGGATCACTACCAAAAGGAGAGCTTCGCGTTTCGGGTTTTGACCTTCATTGCGAAATTTTGGGATGTCGGCCGATGTCGGGTCGAGGGTACAGGGCTTAGGGGTGGGTTTAGGGTTTAGGGTTTAGGGTTTAGGGTTTAGGGTTTAGGGTTTAGGGTTTAGGGTTTAGGGTTTAGAAACCCTTACCCCGAGACCATGTGGTCTCCAGCTGGAACCCGATCAAATTACACCCGGAGCCTTAAGGCCCAAATTCCTGAAGCTCGAAGACCTCCCTAAAGCCTAAGCCCTGAGGGTTTAGGGTTCAGGGTTTAGGGTTTAGGGTTCAGGGTTTAGGGTTTAGGGTTCAGGGATTCGGGTTTAGGGTTCAGGGTTTAGGGTAGGTCATGACCTCCTAGAGACACTTCTGAGGAGTCGGTGAAGATCTTGGGCCTCCGGCCGTTTCAGGCCCATCATTTTTTGCACGACGTTGCTGTCGCGCGTGCGATGTGCTTTGGTACCCGAACCCGAAAACCCTAGCCCTTAAATCGCACACCCTAAGCCGCGTGAGCCCTTATGTGGGGCTGGGGGGGGTCTTAAAGACCTAAGCATCTTCATATTGCGAGGGCTAGCTAGCGACGGTCATTTCCAGATCTCCTCTGCGCCGCACCTGGGCATGGACACGCACCTCACGGGTTTAGGATGAAGGTTTAGGGGTTTTAGGTTTAGGGTTTAGGGGCTTAGGTTTACGGTTTAAGGGCTTAGGGTTTAGGGGGTTTAGGGGGTTTAGGGGGTTTATGGGGGTTTATGGGGGTAAAGGGGTTTAGGGGGTTTAGGGGGTTTAGGGGTTCTCAGAGACCCGAACCAACCCTTCCGTAGAGCTGCACAGGCCCCCCAGTCACGCAAACCTTTGGCTTCAGAACTTCATGTAGGTTCTCAATGCTGCGGTTTAAGGGCTTAGGGCTCCGACTCTCCGACCTTGACCTCCTCCCCTCTTGAGGGGTTTAGGGTTTAGGGTTAGGGTTTAGGGTTTAGGGTTTAGGGTTTAGGGTTTAGGGTTTAGGGTTTAGGGTTTAGGGTTTAGGGTTTAGGGTTTAGGGCTAGGATTAGGGTTTAGGGTTTAGGGTTTCCTCATGGCACAGGACCACGCCAAGTTAGACCGCGACGTCACCATTCTCAGCAGCGAGTGGAAGAGACAGGTGCCCAGGGCTGGGGAGCACGTCACACAGGTTATTTAAGGCTTTTTGGGTTTTTTGGTTTTTTTTTTTTTTGGTTTTTGGGTTTTTTGTTTTTTTTTTTGGGTTTTTTGGGTTTTGGGTTTTTGGGTTTTTTGGGTTTTTTGGGTTTAGGGTTTAGGGGTTTTGGGTTTAGGGTTTAGGGTTCTTGAGTTTAGGGCTTAGGGCTTAGGGCTTAGGGCTTAAGGCCTTCACCTAATGATTGGCTTGAGGTCTTCACCTAATTCTTGGCGCACCCGGCCGCAAGCCAAGGGCGGGCCGAGGGCAGCACATCGTTGTTCAGCAGGCTATAGGGTTTAGTGTTGAGGGTGTTTAGGGTTAGGCTTCTGGTGTTTATAAGTAAGCCTTCTTCTGTATATCTATATATATATATATACATAGATGTTTCTGTTAATTTGTTTATTTATATACACCCCAATACAATCTGGCTCTCGATTTTCGGGTACCTGAGAATGTCGCCGACCTTGTACCTCATCACTTAGCCTCCCGATCCTCGAAGTAGATCCAAGACCCCATCTTACTTCCGGCAGCAGGGGGGCTGGAAGAGTAAGTTCACTCCACTCAACACCAATACGCCTAAACCCTAAACCCTAAACCCTGAACCCTAAACCCTAAACCCTAAACCCCAAACCCCAAACCCCAAACCCCAAACCCCAGACTCTAGCAAGCCAGAAGCCTTCAACTCGTGGCCTCTCAATAGGGAATTAGGGAGGTCGGTTCCCAAATGTCGTGCCCTAAGACGATCACGAGCTAGCAACTACAACGTCGGTAGGGTTTAGGGTTTAGGGTTTAGGGTTTAGGGTTTAGGGTTTAGGGTTTAGGGTTTAGGGTTTAGGGTTTAGGGTTTAGGGTTTAGGGTTTTAGAGTTTCGGGCTGAGGGTTTAGGGTTTAGGGAGTCTGCCCTGTAGCAAATCTCTCCCTACTAAACACAGGTGGGCCAACTGGCTGCATCAAGTGGGCTAACATTTCGCGAGCTGGCCGAGAGCGAGGTCAAGGCGATGACGGTTTTGTGGTTTTAGGGGGTTCGTTTCTGGACTTCAGGTTTGTTAGTTGGGATGTCCCCCCCTTATACTAGCAGTCCTTAGGGGGTACTATAATACCTATTATCCTATTATGAGCTGTTAGTATAAGGGGGAACATCTCAATGTATAAGGGTGATTTCCGAGCAGCCATAGGAAAAACAGGACTTGTTGTTTGCCGCCACATCGCAGTCCTAGATCTGCCAACGATCTCGCTTCAATAGCAAGAGCTTAGGATTTAGGTTTTGGGGTTTTGAGATTCCCCCCCCTGCCCCTCCCCCCCCCCCCCCCCCCCCCCCCGCCGCCGGCCTTGTTGGGTTCGGGTTTGAGGATTTTTTCCAGCAATGAGGCGGAATAGAAGTTTAGTCTTTAGCCAAATCCAACGTGCCCACGAGCCCCGCCCCCCCCCCCCCCCCCCGGCCCCCCCGGCTGCTTGCCCAAAAGCCTACGCGAAGCTTTAGGGTTTGGGGTTTAGGGTTTCATTACAACTCCGCACCGTTCCTAACCCTCGTATGAACAACAAGTCTAGACCACTCTAGAACATGCTTGTCGCTATTTTGACCTTTGGGCAGATCCCAAACCATAAGCCCCAAGGTCACTTTCTTTCCTCTTCACAAGGGGGTCCCAAAAGAGCGAATTGCACGAACATCCAAGACATCAGACCCTATAAGCCCTATAACCCTAAACCCTAGACCCGATATCCCTCAACCCTCAACCCCAAACCCTAAACCCCAAACCCCAAACCCTAAACCCTAAACCCTAAACCCTAAACCCTAAACCTCTAGAGCCCTAAACCGCAGGACCTCACGAGCCAGGGCTTCAACGCCGCCTTGCTGTCGGCGCGGCTCCTTCGGCTGATGCAGATGCTGCCTGGCTTCCGAAGGGGCCCTTTGGGGTTTAGGGTTTAGGGTTTAGGGTTTAGGGTTTAGGGTTTAGGGTTTAGGGTTTAGGGTTTAGGGTTTAGGGCGTTTAATGCTGTTTCGGCTGGTAATAGAGAGTGGTGGTCTCGGGTTTTAAGCCAGACTAGACAAAATCTGGCGTCGCCGACAGGAGGGATATGGCACAGTCCGCCCCCAGTGCAGCTGAAGAGGCTCTTTCGGGCCTCTAAGTTCAGGGCTTGGGTGTGGCACTTGGTTCTAGAGCCCTAAACCCTGAAACCCTAAAGCCCTAAAAACCCGAAAACCCTAAAACCCTAAAACCCTACCTGAAACCCTAACACCCTAAAACCCTAGAAACCCTAAAACCCTGAAACCCTAAAACCCTAAACCCTAAGCTGAGAAAGCCCTCAGCCCTAAGCCCTTTAATGGGGCAGCCTCGGGCCCTGAAAACCAAAACCCTCAGATCACAAGAATAGCAAAAACCATCATACTGTCAGTAAGAAGAATAATAATAATACTAACAAAACAAAGAAAATGTATATATATATATATATTTATTTATTTATTCATTCATTTATTTTGCTTATGTGTTTTTACTTGTTTATTTTCTTTATAATTATTTGGGATTTATGTGTATTGAGTTTATACTTTTTCTATTTATATCTTTGTATGTATGAATGCACGCATGCATGTATAGATGTATGTATATATCTACTGGACAACTGAACTGACTCTTTGCTTCAGCCCTTTATCCTTAAAAAAACCACTTACAGAAGGCTCCACATCGACCCCACCAAGCCCTTCGGTCTCCTCTCGGATGGCGCCCTCCGCCGTGCGCAGCTGGGCCTGAAGCTGCTGCTCCCCGGCCGCATGTAGAGCCCTATGGTTGAGGGCTTAGGGTTATGGGTTTAGGGTTTAGGGTTTAGGGTTTAGGGTCTAGGGTCTAGGGTTTAGGGTTGGGAGTTGAGGGGTTCGAGGGTTGGGGGTTCGGTTCAGGGCATTTTGAGCCTGTCGGGTTGATAAGGGTTTAAGGACTTTGTCAGGCTGCGCATGAGCAGCAGTGGGTTGCAGCTGTAACCCTAAACCCTAAACCCTAAACCCTAAACCCTAAACCCTAAACCCTAAACCCTAAACCCTAAACCGGGTTGGGCTTTTGGGGCTTGCATCTTTAGATGGTTCTGGGTGCTGGGCGAGCTGCCTGCTGGGTTGGCTCCACAGTTGGGGTTTAGGGTTTAGGGTTTAGGGATTAGGGTTTAGGGTTTAGGGTTTAGGGTTTAGGGTTTAGGGTTTAGGGTTTAGGGTTTAGGGTTTAGGGTTCCCAGAACAAAGGGCTTGTCGGTACATTCGGCCAACGTAGCTAAACTGTAAGTGAATTTTGCTACGTCCGTCGTGCCTTTCACAGATCGTTCATAATTACTAAACCCTAAACCCTAAACCCTAAACCCTAAACCCTAAACCCTAAACCCTAAACCCTAAACCCTAAACCCTAAACCCTATGAGCACGAAACCGTCAACCCTGGCTTCTTGCTGTTGCCTCGCTTGGTTGCTGCGTTTTGTCCAGATAGGCTGCGTTCACTTCGGCGCATTCTTTTTTTCCACACAAGAACCTTGGGGACGAAATGAACCCTAAAATTGGGGTCATATACCCTCTGCTACTAGAATTCCTATTAAGGTATATGAACCATAAACCCTTTTAGGGTTCATTTCGTCCCCAAGGAAGCAAGAAACAGGTAAGAAGCGCTCGAGAAAAGAGGGTCGGATGAGATGCGGACTAAGCTTGACACAGATACGCAAGGAAGCCGGTATCGGTGCTGCTTATCGATGAGGTGACGGCGGAGTCCTGGCTAAACAACTGTGCGTGCACTGGCAAGGACCAAGCTCAAACCCTGCACTCTAAACCCTAAACCCTAAACCCTAAACCCTAAACCCGAATAAAACTCTAAACCCTAACCGAAAAGCGCCAGACTCCCAATCTTAAGGCCCCGGAACCCCCCTCCCAAAAGTCTTGAACCTTCGGCCCGCGATCCCCTAAACCTTTTGAAGCCTTTATACAGCCCCTTAAGGCCTCAGCCCCTGAAACCTCCGCACACCGAAAGCCTGACCCCTCCCCCCCCAAATCCTCAACCCTATAAAGGCCTTAAATCCGCAGCTTTAACTCCCCAAAATCCTGACTAAAAAGGCCCAAAACCTGAAACCCCCAAACCCTAAACCCTAAACCCTAAACCCCTAGTCGGGGTATAGTCCTACTCTCCCGAAATCGGGTGAGGTTTAGGGTTTAGGGTCCCAAAACTCTCGCCCTGTCGAGGTTTAGGGCCTTGAGGGCCTTGAGGGCTCCTAGGGTTTTCGGGCATTTAGGGTTTAGGGTTTAGGGTTTAGGGTTTAGTTAGGGTTTAGGGTTTAGGGTTTAGGGTTTAGTGTTTAGGGAGAACCCTAAGCCCTTACAAGTAAGGTTTTTAGGGTTTTAGGGTTGCAGCCGAGGATTTGGATGTGCTGGCCAGGGATGCGCTACTACAGTTCCTGAAGGAAGACAGCGAGGAGTACTTGGAGTAAAGGGCCTTGTGCTACTGCTGCTACTACTACTACTACGACGACGACGACGACTACTACTACTACTACGACGACGACGACTACCACTACCGCTACCACTACCACTACCACTACCACTACCACTACCACTACCACTACCACTACCACTCCTACTGCTACTCCTCCTACTGCTACTCCTACTCCTACTCCTCCTCCTCCTCCTCCTCCTCCTCCTCCTGCTGCCCAAAGTGTCCTATGCCATGGGCGTCTTTCTACATGCTGCCCTCCTACTCGAATCACCTTAGAATCCCTATAGTACTAGTGCAAGCTACCCTAACGCACCCACCCTTACTATTCTTATGTTGGCCCCTATATCGGATAGCTTCAGAATCAGATTCCCTCCTCAAGTTGCGGTTCGCGGCATTTAGATTATAAGTAGGGCTAGAAGTGTGGTAGCTGCAGCTATGAACTGATTGAGGGTACTTGTACAATTGCAACCTTACGTGCCACGGCCCACGAACCTCTAATGAGTGTTAACTGTTAACCCAAAACCTTACGCCCTAACTCTCAAACCCCTAACCCTCAAACCGCAACCTAAAAACCCTGACAGTAAACGACCTAAACCCTAACCCTGAAAGGCCCTAGACCTTCATGACTTTAGATCAAAGTCCGCCTGAGCCCTCAACCCTCTGTTCGGAACTTGTGGCTGCAAGGTTCAGGTCTTAGGGTTGAGGGTTTGGGGGTGGGGTTTAGGGTTTAGGGTTTAGGGTTTAGGGTTTAGGGTTTAGGGTTTAGGGTTTAGGGTTTAGGGTTTAGGGTTTAGGGTTTAGGGTTTAGGGTTTAGGGTTTAGGGTTTAGGGTTTGGGGGTAGGGTTTAAGGGAAATCTGAAGGGCTTGGCCGGTGTCAGGAGGGCAGCACCATCATCTACTGCACGCACATCATGGATGGCTTGGAAGGAAAGGGCTTAGGGTTTAGGGTTTAGGGTTCAGGGTTCAGGGTTTAGGGTTTAGGGTTTAGGGTTCAGGGTTTAGTGTTCATGGTTCAGGGTTCAGGGTTTAGGGTTTAGGGCTTAGCGTTCGGGGCACCGCTTTTGAGTCAATGAGGGCAGGGCTTCAAAACTTCGAGGGGTGTTCAGAAAAGAAGCGGGCTGTTTTTTCAGGGGTTTGGGGCTTCGGGCTAGTGGGTCTAGGGCGAACGTTAGGAAAAGATGTGACCTTGCACTTTTCTTTCCAATATCCTCAGAGAGCACGAGATTTTCCATCAGAACGCCGCCTTCTTCTAGCACCCTCAACCCAACCCCCCCCCCCCCCCCCCCCCAAATCTCAAAAAAACCCTAAGCCCCCACACCCTAAGCCTTCTTTGGGGTGAGAGTTGAAACAGATCAGAGCACTTGACTCTTAACTTCAAGGCTCAACCTCAAGCCCGAATGTTTTTGGGTTTAGGGTAAGAGACCATGGTCCATGGTCACATTCGAAACTTTTTCAGAGCTGGGTGAGTTAAATGAGGATGTTTCCTAGGTAGCATAAGGGGGACCCTTAAAAGGGAACCCCTTCTGAACCCTCTTCCGGCTCTCTTAAGCAGGGACCTTATTCAGAGGGTCTATATCCCCAAGCGTCCCCCGGATCCTATCCCCTAATGTTTTTGGTGAAGTTCAACATCCTGGCCTTAAAGAAGGGCTCACGGACTTTGATGTCTCGAGGTCTGAGTTTATAGGCCCTAAATCCCTCGACCGCTTACTTCCTCCGCAGCCCCTCAAAAGGTTGAGGGCTTCAAAGCCCCAAAAAAGTACTAACCCTAAACCCTAAACCCTAAACCCTAAACCCTAAACCCTAAACCCTAAACCCTAAACCCTAAACCCTAAACCCTAAACCCGGCCCAAGGGCACCACAGCACTCTCCTGGGCAGGTTGGGCCACCCACTACCTCCACCTTCGACCGCTGGGTCGCCTGAATACTGCTCTGTGTTTAGGGTTTAGGGTTTAGGGTTTAGGGTTTAGGGTTTAGGGTTTAGGGTTTAGGGTTTAGGGTTTAGGGTTTAGGGTTTAGGGCTTGGGAATCACGATCCCTACGCTGCAATAGCCCCAGGGGCCCAAAGCTGAAAGCGAGAAACAAAACAAACGAAGCGCTTCATAAACTCTCCTTAAATCCTGCGCAGCGTTGTTGTGCACCCTACCACTTTTCTTGAGTACTTGGGTCGAAAGGACAAACCCCCTACGCAAAAAAAGGATAGTAGGGCAGAACCCTCAGGGCCCAAGACCCGATTTTTCATAGACGTGTGAACCGTTTTGAGACCCAACAAACCCGAAAACTTCTCCAATCCCTAACCCTAAACCCTAAATCCTAAACCCTAAACCCTAAACCCATACGCCTAAGAATTAAGAGCCCAAAGGGCCTCATCACTCCCAAAAGCCTCCAAAAGCCCGGAAAAAAAACACCTCCAAGACCCCCCCAGCACCCCGAAACGAACATCCCGAAGTCTGCAAAATCCCCCGAGTTCGGAAGACCGACAGGCCCTACACTTCCAGGGACCAAGCAACTAGGGTTTAGGGTTTGGGGTTCAGGGTTTGGGGTTTAGGGTTACTCGAACCCTTCTAAGGACTCCCCACACCCCCAAGCCCCTGAATCCTGAACCCTGAAGGACACACTAATGACGGTCCCTGATCTTATACGGACATGTAGGGTTTAGGGTTTTAGGTGTTAGGGGTTAGGGGTTAGGATTTAGGGTTTAGGGTTTAGGGTTTAGGGTTTAGGGGTGTGACGAAAGCTCAGGTTTGCCAGGCCTCGGCATGACGTCCGAAGGCCCAGCAATGCGACCCTCGACCCCCCACGCCCGAGACGAAAGCAGAAAGCTTCAGAAGGATGTCAGTTGCGCCGAAAGAAGCACGGTAAGGGTTAGGGTTTAGGGTTTAGGGCGAACAGAAGCTACCCACCTGAAAACCCTCAACCCTGAGCTGTGTTTGCAAGAACTATGAAGTGAGACTATTACGAAGGTCAGGGTGGTCAGGGGCTTCATCTAGGCAGTGACGAAGCCACGGCCCGTGCAGGGCTGTATACCTTATCGTTGAGGGTTCATATAGGGTTTAGGGTTTAGGGTTTAGGGTTTAGGGCTTAGGGTACCCTGGCTGCCCCAAATACCAAAAAGTCGCAAAATATATAAGGCCCGCATGATCCTGGTTTAAGTACAGAGAGGCCCCTGACTGCAGCCCTCAAGAAGAAGAGGAAGAGGACGAGGGGGGTTTAGGGTTCAGGGTTTAGGGTTCAGGGTCTAGGGTTTAGGGTTTAGGTAGGGTTTAGGGTGAAGGGTTTAGTAATTTAGGGTTTAGTGGGGGAGTGGAGAAGAGAAAGAAGAAGACGAGTAAGAGGAGGAGGCCTCTAATTCAGGGTCCTTTTCCGGGGTCCCGATTATGAGGGTACCGTATCTATGTAGAGGACCCCAAAAGGAACCATAATTTTCCAGAAAAACCCATGTTCAGTTGCGCATGAGGCCAACAACTCAAAATCAACTTTGTGCTAGCCTCTGAATGGACTTTATTACTTTCTAGGGTCTTCATGTATCTTTGCGCCTTTTAGGGCCATTGATCCGGAAGTAACTGTGCTTACCGCGAGCCCAAGCCCTAAACCCGAAACCCTAAACCCTAAACCCTCCTCTTCCTCCTCGACAGGTTTAGTTGGCAACTCTGGCGCGCGCAGCGATGCAGCGCTGTCTCAGCAGGTGACTACGAACCTTTGTGTCGGAGGGGGCCTGAGGTATCAGGGACAGATCGAAGGGTCCTAAACCCTAAACCCTAAACCGCAGGCGAAGGAGGAGGGGCTTCTCGAAAATATCACGACTCTGCGACTGGCCTTAGCGTCCCTAAACTCTATAAGCCCCCACACCGTCTGCCTAAACGCTGAACCCCTAAACCCATGGCGCAAAAGTGCCGGGCACTCATGTACCAAAAGCATTCAACCTAAAGAGCGCTGTTTTTTTGGTTTAAGGGTTTTGGGTTGCCATATGTAGCCCCATTAAACACGCAGGAAGCTTGAATTCCTCTGTAATATAAGGCCCACCGAGCCCACCCCCAGTGTCTCCGCCGTAGTTCTTAACTGTACCCCGTAGATCCTTATCCGACTGGTTTAGGGTTCAGGGTTCAGGGTTCAGGGTTTAGGGTTTAGGGTTTAGGTTTAGGGTTTAGGGTTTAGGGTTTACCCCGTAGATCCTTACTTGGGTCCTGTGCTTTACGCGCAGCCGACTCAGGGTCATGGCCTGAAGGCTCAGGGCCATTTTGAGTTTAGGGTTCAGGGTTGAGGGTTTAGGGTTTAGGGTTTAGGGTTTAGGGTTTGGGGTTTAGGGTTTGGGGTTTAGGGTTTGGGGTTTAGGGTTTAGGGGTTTTGGGGAAGGTCTCCTCTCCCAGCCGTGGCCTGCCTTGCAGATTCTTCACCTCCTCCGCGCGGACGAGGGCGCGCAAGCGCGGGCACGGGAGGAGCCCAAATCTGCCAGCCCGGACCAGGCTGCCCTGGAGAAGGCCGGACTGAAGAGACAGTGGATCGGGGTTAGACAGAGGAAATGATCGGCAATTGTTGACTGTCCGGTACTTGGTGCATATATATGTATATACTGCTTGTTATAGTGTTGTGTAATATTTCATCACTAGTATTACTATATTATTATATCATGACATTACTATATCGTTATATTTTTACTATATATATATATATATATATGCTTTGTTTATCTGAGAGACAGAGAGCACTCTTGGGTAGAAAAGCCTGCTGCTTTGGCGGGGGTTGATGCGCATTTTTTGCCCTCGGGCTCTTGTGCAGTCCCTAAACCTTAAACACTAAACCCTAAACCCTCAACCTTAAACCCTAAACCCTAACCCCCAAACCTTATATGGGTTGGTGGTCTCTTGAAGTCAGGCTTCTGTTTGATAGGGCATGTATTCGGGGTCCTTACTAGGGCATCTAGGGGCTAAACTAAGGTATGGGGATAGCAGATAAAGAGGCCACCGGCCTTTGTAGCCTGAACCCTAGCCCTAAACCCACCCTTGAGGGCTGATCGGTTGCCAGCCGAAACTTAGGACATGTGATTTTGCAGGCGAAGTTGTGTGCGTGTGTCTGTTATTCGCGAAAACCCTCAGCCTTCAAACCAACTAAACACCAACAACCCTCATTGGGCCCAAAACTCTTAACACCCTTAAAGGCCTATCATCCCCCTTATAGCCCTAAACTCTGGGCAAACCGGAAAAGACCAGCTTATAGCGATGTTTAGGGTTACTTGGCGTATCCTTATGTCAACGGCTGAAAAATAAGAACTAGTAAGTTACTCTATCTATTGAACTGATTTTAACTTTGTCGCTAGGAGTGGGTGGGGGGGGGGGGGTTCCAGGCCAATTTTTGCAGAGCTTGAATCTTGGATAAAGTTACACAATTTGACGGCCCTTCAAAGTACGTAGTTGATTTAGAAAGCTCATTAGCTCTTTCATCAACGGCACAAAATTTCATTACTTCCCCGGCGGGTCCATTTGTAGGATTGAAGTAGGGAACCCTAAACCCTAAACCCTAAACCCTAAACCCTAAACCCTGGGTTTTATTGGGGGCAAAATGACTTCAAAGCTCTTACTTTCAGCGCTCCAGGAGCTCGACGTAGACAGTGAAAATTAGTAAGGCCTTGGTGCACTCCTAAACCCTCAACCCGAAGCTTCCCTATATACACCCTAAACCCTAAGCCCGAAGCCCTAAACCCTAAACCCTAAACCCTAAACCCTAAACCCTAAACCCTAAACCCTAAAACCCTAAACCCTAAACCCTAGCCTTGGCCGATGCAATGTAAAGACATATTCAGTATGCGCAACACTTGACATTATTTTGTTAGCCGGAGGCTTCCAGAGCCTTGGGCATTTTGATCTCCCGGCCATCTCCTCGTGGCCTTCGTGAAACGGGGCCAGCCAGTGGTCGACCGCGTCCTGGGCGGCAACCACACTCAAACACTTTGGATGTGGTGTCTTCCTCCAGGGCATCGGTATCCTGGAGAACTGTGGGGGAGGGACTGCCCTCGTTTGCGCAGCTGTGGAGCTGGGGCAGATCACACGTGGTGATTTTTTTGTGTTCTATGAGCCAAAGAGTTCCCTATGTACGGTTGTCCCATTAGGTCCTTGTGATTCTACTTTGTGTTTTTCCGGTGTGGGCCACAGAAGCTCCCTTCACCTGACTTTCGAGACAGTAAATTACGTATCTGCTTGATTTCCCTTGCCTAAGTGTTCAGTGTGCTTTTGTTTCCACTGGGGGGGCAGCAAGGGGGCTGGCTTGAGACGCATGTGCCATGATGGGTGCGTTGAAAACACCCTAGGGCCCTACACATGAAACCCTACAGATCTCCTCCACACAGTGGACCATCTCGGGGAGCGTTCCCTCAGCCAACCGACACCGCTGCGTACAGTCGCTACCTCGGCCGAGCCGAGCACAGCAGCCCAAACCTCATGCTGCGACTCATGCTCTTGCAAAACCCGCAACCCCAACCAAACCATCACAATGACTCATGGCACATGCCATATCCATAACAGCCAGAACTCACAGGTTCTACCTCGTGGGTTGGCTTGCGGCCATCGGGCGCGCGCTTGAGCTGCGACCCCAGCATTTTTCCGCCCGGCCACGATGTCGACGCAGGTGCTTCAACGTTGTGCTTAGGAACTATCTTGAGCTCGCAGCCTCGCGCGTTTGCCCCGTCGCATCCCCTGGTTCATACTCTGAGGAATGGTGGCCGCGGCAAGGCGCAGCCGTGCAGCCATGTGCAGTCCTGAAGATGCGTACCATGGTTCTTTGCCACACGCACGGCACACGCACGGCACGTCTTGAAGATCAGAGGGATCACGCATGATGACACGCATGGGAGCTATTGGATGCCCTGTGTTGGCAGCAGGTGGCGTTTTCCCGCCCGAAGATGCCGGGCATCGTGGTGGGTATGGACCAGAAGGAGGGCTCGTTTTTTTTTACGGGTCGTTGGAGGGTCCAAGGCCCATCGCCATTTCCCTTGTAGGCTAGACCGCCCCTCGCAGCATCAGACGGTAGCGTGGATGAGGGGAGAAATCTGATTTCGTCCTTTCGTCGGTGTGCCAGGTCCAGTCTGGCCAAGCAGACGACTCCAGATGCGCTGCTCGTGAACGATACGCGGGGGTCCCCAGCCTTGCTTCCCACCGCTTACAAACTTATAGAAACGCAGTAAAGGCTTAAAGTCCATAAAGGAACACTGGGCCGCAAGCTTCAGATTCTTTAGATGACTGAACCAGCAGAGGCCACATTTGCTGGGTCTCCGTGTCATGTCGCTTCTGCTCTCAGGTCTCTGCTGCTGGGTTAATTCCCAAACTGCGGCTCGGCTACAAACCTTAAATCCCGAAACTCCTACAGCGCGGCTGGTTGCTGGGGCCATGGCGAGACTACCCCAAGACACGCCTAAAGTGTTTGAAGCCAGCCTTTGGGAAAGATGATTTTCACCAAGATTTTGGCTCAGATACGGTCACAGGAACCTTTGCAGCCTTTGCATTTTCGACTTGCCATTGAAATGTGGGCACGCAGCTCAGACATCATGAGATTGAAGCACGAGTCCAGTATTGACAATTGCATAGCTCGGCTTAGACGCCCTCGCTGATGCTCTGTGGCTTGGCCCGACTCGTCAAAGATGTTTCACTAGGGGAACTTTCTTAAGCTTGCCTGTGGGAAGCTTTTCTGGGATCTGGAGAGACCATGACATGCATCGCTATCGCAGTCTCTGTGACAATCGCGGTCAGCGCCATGATGGTCAAAGCAGCTTTTCCTCTATTTACATGGGGGTTTCGATAGATTCGGGGGCCTGTGGCTTAGGAGTATTGGATTGGATGTTGGGCTCCTTACAGAATTAATACAAAATGATCCCTAATCCAAAAGATGGCTGCTGAGAGTTTAGAGTTTAAGGTTGAGGGGTTAGGCTTTCCACATAGCGAACTTGAAGCGCTGCCGCGTCGCCGCCAGCGCTTGAAGCTGCGACGACGCCTTCGCGCTGTGGGCCTCGCGCCTTGGCAGGCAAGTTCCCACAGCCCTGACAGCCGAACCATGATTACATACATGTTGCGAGTGCATCCATCGGCCAGAGCATGCGTGGCGAACCATGAAGTAGTTGGGAAGGCGCCCTGCAAGCTATGGAGTTGAAGATCCTCCCTAGATAGGGTGGAGGCCAGAAGTGCCCAGGGTTGACAAATAATCTGGAGTAAGGCGATCGTCTTCATTCGCGAGGTGCAGCGCGAGGCACTGGAGGGTTTAAGCTTAAAGCAATGCATGAGACAGGGCATGCCGTTGGCTGTAAAGGTTAGGAAACTAAACCGACCCCACATGAAACTGCGTACAATCCTCACAAAATGATGCTGATGAAGACCCAAAAACACCCGTCTGAATCGGAGGCCAAGAGGACTGCATCGCTGAACAACGTGAATTCGACCGTGGGAACGGCCCAGTACTTGGGGCAGGCAGTGGGCTGGGATATGTACTAGGTGTAGGGCAGGGCGTCGTACAGTAACTGACTCTAGGGGCTGCGGATCTGGGATGCGCCTCCAAGACTGGGCCATGGCAATTGAGCACAAGCCACAAGTGCAGAAAAATCGCACAATCAGGGCTCAGGGTTTTGGCTACTCGAGCTGTCTGGTTTGTAGACAGTTTAGGGGAGTTCAAGGAGTAGGGAGGTCCCAATGCGGTCTTCTCGAAGATCATGACGGAAATGCTTGAGAGCGAGCACATGGGCGCGTACGACATGTTCTTCCTCATGGTGATGGATGCGGTTCCTGTCAAGACCGGCTGGCTCCGCCCGCCCGCCCCCGCCCGCCCACCCCCGCCCGCCCACCCCCGCCCGTCCGCCCGGGTACCGCCCGCCCCCGCCCGCCCCCGCCCCCGCCACCCCGCCCCCGCCCGCCCGCACCCCCGCCCGAAGCCCAGAACCCCCCTATCACAACCAGCTAGTGAGTTTACAAATTGCGAATCCTCAACGAGACACGTTCATTCTTCGAAAGCCTTAGTTGTAGTAGGGGTGTTAGCGTGTCCAACTTCACGGCCTCTGCCAGTTTTGGAGGCCAAATAGCAAAAGCCTTTTGAAATCGAACCTTCCCAGAAGCAAAATCTGTGTATTTAATCGAGGCATCTCAACAGCATAGGTCTATGGAAATCGAGGCCGCTCCAAATCAAAGGTCTATGTAAAACGACACATCTCAGAAGCAAAGGTCGGAATCACTGCCAAGTCAGTTTTTGGGCTTACTATCCATGCTTATAGATTTCAGCGAAGAAGATCAAATGATTGTGGTGCAAGGGGACGGGTTCTGTGCACTGTGCAGGCTTTCTCCTCCACCCAGAAGCGATGGTGCCGGAGGCGCTTTTGCTTTTGCCAGTCCTGGATTGCCAGGTTACGGAGTCTCATTCCTATAACTTGCCATCAAATCCCAAACGGTACACAGGCACAGGGAACTTGTAAGTTCGTGGGAAAGTCGACCCCCAGCAGTGCTGAATCAAAAATGCACTCAAGCAGCTTTCTGTCACGCCAGGTTTGGCGCCATGTTTTTGCTTGGCGTGCTCTACCTGCTTCCTGACAGCGTCTCGACTTCTTCCCGGAACCGAGCTTGGGCAGACTCAACTTTGGATGTATGACGCGATGACCATACTGATTTCCTTGAAGCTTGGACACTTGGAGTTACGCCTTCAATCCCGATAGCGCTTGCAGGTTGGAGGAATCGCGCTAGCCCAACTCACCAAGCCACGCCCGAAAAATCTTACATGAAGTCTGATGAGTCAGGGTATCAGCACGCCATTGTTGGTGCCTTGTTTACCTACTACGGACAAGCAGCCATAAACCTTCAAGGTAGCCACGTCGTCTTCCAGCAAGATACGTAGGGTTCGAGCGGGAGCTGGGGGTCTGGTCAGAAGAGTTCTTAGAGCTCCGGACGACCACCTTTGTACCGCAAACGCACTCCCACATACTGGGTTTGTGTGAGAGAAGAGCAAGGTCTGGACGCACTCCCGCGTAAAGATGTTTGTTTTGTTTTTTTCGCGAAAGCTCCAAGCGTCCTTCGCGCAGTGGTCACTCGCGCCCCCAAGATGACGTAGGTTACAGAACGCATCCCAGACAAAGAACAAACGCACTACCGCCGAACTTCCTCACGCTCGGTCGGCCCGCCCCATCGCCTTGAACAGGTCACTTTGTGGAGACGACTGCTAGCCAATGAGAGCAACGAACGAGGGGGAACGAACTCCGCTGAAAACCCTTTGCGATGCTTTCGGGAGTAAGGGGCACCATCGAGGTCTACAATCTCTTTGAGCATGCGAAAGATCGGCGAAAGTTGACAGTCTTTCTGCACAGGTTTACATTTACGACACGATTGACAAGAACCCCAACAAGATTTGGCAAGCTTGCAGCAGTCATGACCAGGCGTGTCAGGTTGACAGCTTGCTAGTGGTCCTGCCGGGGTGATTTTCGTTCCGCATCCAGTCACGCAACGTGGGACTCAGGCCCAAAGCCCGACCCACTTGAATCGAGCCAAGTGCTACACACCTACCCCGTCCCTATGATGAGAGAACGGTTCAAACGGGGGAGGGGGGTAGGGCCAAGGAGACATTGACATTGGAGTCTCCGAAGTCGACCCACACGCTGATCTGGAGCAGCAGCCTCCCCGGCGCAGCCAGCGGGATGGAGGCGCACTCAGCCATAAAACGCCCTCAACGGAGCACCCCACCCTATGAGCCCTATGTACGTTGGACCTTTAGGGTCTATGTGAGGCAATGTCCTTGTTTCCCTGTCAAAACCCATGGAAACTCATGTAAGCCAAAGCATGACATAGACGCTAGTTGTACTGGGATACTGTTTTAGACGTACTGGCAGCTGACGTCCCTGCAGATCTACCGGTGCTGCTGGGTAAATCCGCGCCTGCGCTGGCCAGCGAGCCGAGCGTGGCGGATGACACCGCCGAAAAAGATGCCCAGCCCGAGGCCCGCTTGCAAGCTGGCTAAAGAATCAGTGTATCTGTCTCGCTCTGGGTCGAGCTCGTCACGTGAATCGCGGGTCTTCCAGGAGCTTGAGGCCCTCCCCACAGGATGTTTCAGTACAGCATCAAGAAATGCAGGCTTTCAGACCTGTTTGCTCGT